CCATGTGTTATCCCCCCCCCCACACACACACACAAAGGGATCTGGACAGGCTGCAGGCCTGTCCCAACAACTGGCTCCTGGAGTTCAACCCCACCAAGTGCAAAGTCATGAAGATTGGAGAAAAGAAAAGAAGACCGCAGACGGAGTACAGTCTAGGGGGGCCAGAGACTACAAACCTCAATCAAGCACAAAGATCTTGGGGTGAGTATAACACCGGGCACATCTCCAGAGGCGCACATCAACCAAATAACTGCTGCAGCATATGGGCGCCTAGTAAACCTGAGAATAGCATTCCGACATCTCAATAAGGCATCGTTCAGGACTCTGTACAATGTGTATGTCAGGCTTATATTGGAGTATGACACTAGTGTGTGTGAGTGGCACTAGTGTGTGTGTCACTAGTGTGTCAGGCACAGTGTATAGCCACCTATTGCGGTGCCAGAAGTAAAGAGAATGCTTGAGGAGGGGGCATGGGGTAGGTGCTGGTTATTGTGGGGCACTGCCAAGTTGAACTGGAGAAGGGAGGTAGTTGTGTTGTACAACCAGTGTGGGGGTGGTAGTTGTGGTGTACAGTGTGAGGGGTGGTAGTTGTGGTGTACAAACAGTGTGAGGGGTGGTAGTTGTGGTGTACAGTATGGGGGGTGGTAGTTGTGGTGTACAGTGTGAGGGGTGGTAGTTGTGGTGTACAAGTGTGAGGGAGGTAGTCGTGGTGTACAACCAGTGTGAGGGTGGTACTTGTGGTGTACAACCGGTGTGGGGGAGGTAGTTGTGGTGTACAACCACTGTGTGGGTGGTAGTTGTGTTGTACAACAGTGTGGGGGTGGTATTGTGGGTGTACACCAGTGTGGGGTTTGGTAAGTTGTGGTGTACAACCACTGTGGGGGTGGTAGTTTGTTGTACAACCAGTGTGGGGGGGGTAGTTGTGGTTTAAACCAGTGTGGGGGTGGTAGTTTGTTGTACAACCAGTGTGGGGGTGGTAGTTGTGGTGTACAACCAGTGTGGGGGTGGTAGTTGTGGTGTACAACCAGTGTAGGGGTGGTATTTGTTTGTCCCAACCTCTGGGGGTGGTAGTTTGTGTTGTACAACCAGTGTGGGGGTGGTAGTTGTGTTGTACAACCGGGTGTGGGGTGGTAGTTGTGTTGTACAACCAGTGTGGGGGTGGTAGTTGTGTTGTACAACCTCGTGGGGTGGTAGTTGTGTTGTACAACCAGTGTGGGGTGGTAGTTGTGTTGTACAACCAGTGTGGGGTTGGTTAGTTGTGTTGTACAATCAGTGTGGGGGGTGGTAGTTGTGTTGTACAACCAGTGTGGGGTGGTGGGTTGTGTTTAAACCAGTGTGGGGGTGGTAGTTGTGTTGTACAAACCAGTGGTGGGGGTGGTAGTTGTGGGGGTACAACCAGTGGGGGGGGTGGTAGTTGTGTTGTACAACCGTGTGGGGGTGGTAGTTGTGGTGTACAACCAGTGTGGGGGGTGGTAGTGTGCTGTACAACCAGTGTGGGGTGGTAGTTGTGTTGTACAACCAGGGGTTGGGGGTGGTAGTTGTGTTGTACAATCAGTGTGGGGGTGGTGTTGTGTTGTACAACCAGTGTGGGGGTGGTAGTTGTGTTGTAAACCAGTGTGGGGTGGTAGTTGTGTTGTACAACCAGTGTGGGGGTTTGGTAGTTGTGTTGTACAACCAGTGTGGGGGTGGTTTGTTGTGTTGTACAACCAGTGTGGGGGTGGTGTTGTGTTGTACAATCAGTGTGGGCGTGGTTAGTTGTGTTGTACAATCAGTGTGGGGGTTGGTAGTTGGTTTGTAAACCAGTGGGGGGGTTGTGGGTTGTTTGTACAACCAGTGTGGGGGTGGTTTAGTTGTGTTGTACAACCAGTGTGGGGGGGGTTTGTTTTTGTTGTAAAATCAGTGTGGGGGGTGGTAGTTGTGTTGTACAATCAGTGTGGGGTGGTTAGTTGTGTTGTACAATCAGTGTGGGGGTGGTATTTTGTGTTGTAAACCAGTGTGGGGGTGGTAGTTGTGTTGTACAACCATGTGTGGGGGTGGTAGTTGTGTTGTAAAACCAGTGTGGGGGTGGTAGTTGTGGTGTAAAAACCAGTGTGGGGGTGGTAGTTGTGGTGTACAACCGTGTGGGGTGGTAGTTGTGGTGTACAACCAGTGTGGGGGTGATGTTGTGGGTTTAAAAAAACAACCAGTGTGGGGGTGGTAGTTGTGGTGTAAAACCCAGTGTGAGGAAGGTAGTTGTGGTGTACAACCAGTGGGGGGAAGGTAGTTGTGGTGTACAACCCAGTGTGAGGAAGGTTTAGTTGTGGTGTAACAACCAGGTGGGGAAAGGGTTTAGTTGGGGGTGTACAACCATTTGTGGGGAAGGTAGTTGGGGTTTGTACAACCAGTGTGGGGGTGGTAGTTGTGGTGTACAACCAGTGTGGGGGTGGTAGTTGTGGTGTACAACCAGTGTGAGGAAGGTAGTTGTGGTGTACAACCAGTGTGAGGAAGGAGTTGTGGTGTAAAAACCAGTGTGAGGAAGGTTGTTGGGGTTTGTACAACCAGTGTGGGGAATGGTAGTTGTGGTGTACAACCAGTGTGAGGAAGGTAGTTGTGGTGTACAACCAGTGTGGGGGTGGTAGTTGTGGTGTACAACCAGTGTGGGGGTGGTAGTTGTGGTGTACAACCAGTGTGAGGAAGGTAGTTGTGGTGTACAACCAGTGTGAGGAAGGTAGTTGTGGTGTACAACCAGTGTGGGGGTGGTAGTTGTGGTGTAAAACCAGTGTGGGGGGTGGTAGTTGTGGTGTAAAAACCAGTGTGGGGGGGTAGTTGGGTGTACAACCAGTGTGAGGAAGGTAGTTGTGGTGTACAACCAGTGTGAGGAAGGTAGTTGGGGGTTTACAAACCGTGTGGGGAAGGTAGTTGTGGTGTAAAAAACCAGTGTGGGGGAAGGTAGTTGTGGGTGGTTACAACCAGTGTGGGGAAGGTAGTTGTGGTGTACAACCAGTGTGAGGAAGGTAGTTGTGGTGTACAACCAGTGTGGGGAAGGTAGTTGTGGTGTACAACCAGTGTGAGGAAGGTAGTTGTGGTGTACAACCAGTGTGAGGAAGGTAGTTGTGGTGTACAACCAGTGTGGGGAAGGTAGTTGTGGTGTACAACCAGTGTGAGGAAGGTATTTTGTGGTTGTACAACCAGTTTTGAGGAAGGTAGTTGTGGGTACAACCAGTGGGGAGGAAGTATTGGGGTGTACAACCAGTGTGGGAAGGTAGTTGTGGTGTACAACCAGTGGGGGGGTGGAAAGTTGTGGTGTACAACCAGTGTGAGGAAGGTAGTTGTGGTGTACAACCAGTGTGAGGGTGGTAGTTGTGGTGTACAACCAGTGTGGGGGTGGTAGTTGTGGTGTACAACCAGTGTGGGGAAGGTAGTTGTGGTGTACAACCAGTGTGAGGGTGGTAGTTGTGGTGTACAACCAGTGTGCGGAAGGTAGTTGTGGTGTACAACCAGTGTGGGGGTGGTAGTTGTGGTGTACAACCAGTGTGGGGAAGGTAGTTGTGGTGTACAACCAGTGTGGGGAAGGTAGTTGTGGTGTACAACCAGTGTGAGGAAGGTAGTTGTGGTGTACAACCAGTGTGAGGAAGGTAGTTGGGGTTTGTACAACCAGTGTGAGGAAGGTAGTTGTGGTGTAAAAACCAGTGTGAGGAAGGTAGTTGTGGTGTACAACCAGTGTGAGGAAGGGTAGTTGTGGTTGTACACCAGGTGAGGAAGGTAGTTGTGGTGTAAAACCCATTTGTGGGGGTGGTAGTTGTTGGTGTACAACCAGTGTGGGGAAGGTAGTTGGGGTTGTACAACCAGTGTGAGGGTGGTGTTGTGGTGTACAACCGTGTGAGGAGGTAGTTGTGGTGTACAACCAGTGTGAGGAAGGTAGTTGTGGTGTAAAACCCAGGTGAGGAAGGTAGTTGGGGTGTACAACCAGTGTGGGGAAGGTAGTTGTGGTGTACAACCAGTGTGAGGAAGGTAGTTGTGGTGTACAACCAGTGTGAGGAAGGTAGTTGTGGTGTACAACCAGTGTGGGGAAGGTAGTTGTGGTTTGTACAACCAGGGGTGGGGAAAGGTTTAGTTGTGGTGTACAACCAGTGTGGGGGTGGTAGTTGTGGTGTACAACCAGTGTGAGGAAGGTAGTTGTGGTGTACAACCAGTGTGAGGGTGGTAGTTGTGGTGTACAACCAGTGTGGGGGTGGTAGTTGTGGTGTACAACCAGTGTGAGGAAGGTAGTTGTGGTGTACAACCAGTGTGGGGAAGGTATGTTGTGGTGTACAACCAGTGTGGGGAAAGGTTAGTTGTGGTGTACAACCAGGGGTGAGGAAGGTAGTTGTGGTGTACAACCAGTGTGGGGAAGGTAGTTGTGGTGTACAACCAGTGTGAGGAAGGTAGTTGTGGTGTACAACCAGTGTGGGGGTGGTAGTTGTGGTGTACAACCAGTGTGAGGAAGGTAGTTGTGGTGTACAACCAGTGTGAGGGTGGTAGTTGTGGTGTACAACCAGTGTGGGGGTGGTGTTGTGGTGTAAAAACCAGTGTGAGGGAGGTATTTTTTGGTGTACAACCGTGTGAGGGGGGTTTAGTTGTGGTGTAAAAACCAGTGTGAGGAAGGTAGTTGTGGTGTACAACCAGTGTGGGGGTGGTAGTTGTGGTGTACAACCAGTGTGAGGGAGGTAGTTTTGGTGTACAACCAGTGTGAGGGTGGTAGTTGTGGTGTACAACTAGTGTGGATATGGTAGTACAGGGTACATGAGCTCTTCAAAGACTACCTATTGAAAATTGTATACCTTTGATATACCTTTGAAAAGTCTCTAGAGTTTTCCTACTTTCGCAGCCCGGCCCCTGGCCAGGCTTGTCTGGTGCCTGATCATTTAATCTCCCACTTGCAGTCGATGAGACTTGAACATTTCCGATTAACTGTAACCATCACTTTAATATAGTTATATCATGACTTGAATTTGTTTATATAGGAAATAATTTTTTTTCAGGTAAGGATGGCTACTCCAGGGAGCAGTTAAGTCAACTCAACAATGATTTGACGGTGGTGGGAGAGAGGTAAGTACTGTCTTGTGCTTAAAGAGGTCAAATCATAACTCCAGGTGCCGGTCGACATTGCTGATTCTTTTTTTCCACACTCTTGAGACTGTGAATGACCACTTCCTCACCCAGTTCATTTTCCTGAGTGACTGTCCTTCATGGCGTCCAGGCTGCTCATACCAGTCTTGAGCTGCCATTATTCCTTGGGATCCTTCTCATACTTCCAACGTCTTCCAGTAGCAGGTAGTATTTCGTACATAATTACCTCGTGTCTGTGGTTCTCTTCTAGAGTTCTTAGTGTGAACCGCTGTAGTCTCTCTCTTCGTTGGTTACCTTCTTTATGGGTTTTATCATGCGTGGGCTCTATGCTGGTGCTCTAACATACTATGTATACATAACTCTGGAAGATTCCTAAGAGCAATTCTTAAGAGTTGTTAAGTTTAAATGTGTTGCTTAAGTTATTGTTTATATGTGATTTTAGTGATATGTGCGGTGTGATGCTTACCCCCAGATCCTTTTCCCTTATATGTTGTCTATAATGTTGCACCACGAACACTGCACTCTGTCTTTCCCCCTCCAATATTCTTATTACATTGCAATTATCAGATTTGTTATTGTTCACAAATTTATTAACATACCCGTTGTGGAGCCTCTGTCTTCAGTGAATCGCCGTCTCATTAATCTAATATCTTCAAACAGGAACACATTTGCAGGGCAAATGCACGAATCAGAAAGAAAAAACAAAAGAAGGAACCAATTACTGACCCTTCGATATTCCACTTGTCACATTCTACCATTCTCAAGCTTACTCTCTTTCCACTTCCCTCTACGTTCTCTCTCTTGAGCTTTCCTGTACCCACATAGACTTCTCCTGACGCACCTGTTTTTTTCTTGTAATTTTTAGGTCATTCTCTGGCAGGGTACAATATATATTCTTGAAGTTCCTAAAAGCGGTCCTTGTGTTAGCTAGTTTTGCATATTCCACTGAAGTTTGAGATGTATATGCACTTCTTAGGAGATGTTTGGTGCAGTCATCCCGAGAAATGTTGAGATCTCTTCAGTAAAGGCACATGCTGCTCCAGGACCCGCAAATTATTTCCCTGAAAAAATGTGCCGAACTTCAGTAAATGAGGAACATTATTATGATTCTACGTGTCCAGTGGTTAGGATTATATTTGAGTTATTTTTCAAGAGCTAGATGATGCCGTCACGGCGGCTAGTACATTGTACAGCTGCTTAGTTTCTCTTAACACTCTCCTCCCCCCCCCCTTTATTTTAAATCTAAGCTTCGGAGTCACAGTTTCCCTCAGTCTCTACGGTGATATTATGTCTGATCCAGCTGTTTTCTTCTGATCCTCCTTGTTTTTGCTTCTGATCCTCCTTGTTTTTTCTTCTGATCCTTCTAGTTTTTGCTTCTGATCCTCCTAGTTTTTGCTTCTGATCCTCCTAGTTTTTTCTTCTGATCCTCCTAGTTTTTGCTTCTGATCCTCCTAGTTTTTGCTTCTGATCCTCCTAGTTTTTGCTTCTGATCCTCCTAGTTTTTGCTTCTGATCCTCCTAGTTTTTGCTTCTGATCCTCCTAGTTTTTGCTTCTGATCCTCCATGTTTTTGCTTCTGATCCTCCTTGTTTTTTCTTCTGATCCTTCTAGTTTTTGCTTCTGATCCTCCTAGTTTTTTCTTCTGATTCTACTAGTTTTTTCTTCTGATCCTCCTAGCTTTTTCTTCTGATCCTCCTAGTTTTTGCTTCTGATCCTCCTAGTTTTTGCTTCTGATCCTCCTAGTTTTTGCTTCTGATCCTCCTAGTTTTTGCTTCTGATCCTCCTAGTTTTTGCTTCTGATCCTCCTTGTTTTTGCTTCTAATCCTCCTAGTTTTTGCTTCCCATCCTCCTTGTTTTTTCTTCTGATCCCCCTAGTTTTTGCTTCTGATTTCCCCCTAGTTTTTGCTTCTGATCCCCCTAGTTTTGCTTCTGATCCTCCTATTTTTGCTTTGATCCCCCTAGTTTTTTGCTTTGATCTGATCCTCCTCCTAGTTTTTTGCTTCTGATTTCCCCCTAGTTTTTGCTTCTGATCCTCCTTGTTTTTGCTTTGATCCTCCTAAGTTTTTTTTTTCTGATCCCCATAGTTTTTGCTTCTGATCCTCCTAGTTTTTGCTTCTGATCCTTCTTTTTTTTTTGCTTCGATCCTCCCAGTTTTTGCTTCTGATCCTCCTAGTTTTTTCTTCTGATCCTCATAGTTTTTGCTTCTGATCCTCCTAGTTTTTGCTTCTGATCCTCCTAGTTTTTGCTTCTGATCCTCCTAGTTTTTGCTTCTGATCCTCCTTTTTTTGCTTCTGATCCCCCTTGTTTTTGCTTCTGATCTCCTAGTTTTTGCTTCTGTCCTCCTAGTTTTTGCTTCTGATCCTCCTAGCTTTTGCTTCTGATCCTCCTAGTTTTTGCTTCTGATCCTCCTAGTTTTGCTTTGATCCTCCTAGTTTTTTGCTTTGATCCTCCTAGTTTTTTGCTTCTGATCCTCCTAGTTTTTGCTTCTGATCCTCCTAGTTTTTGCTTCTGATCCTCCTAGTTTTTGCTTCTGATCCTCCTAGTTTTTGCTTCTGATCCTCCTAGTTTTTGCTTCTGATCCTCCTAGTTTTTGCTTCTGATCCTCCCTGTTATTCCAGGTCCTGTCATGCAGTTTATTTTTATTACAGTCTCGCATGATAATTTTGTTTTTGTTGTATTCGCTCCTTGCATCAGTCATCATCTCTTTGTGCTCGTCCTACCTCGGTCGTCTTGTACTCACCGATTTGTACTTGCGGTGTCGAGTTCTGGCTCCTGGTCCCGGTTAGGTTGAGGACTGTAAAATGTTGTCATAGATCTCCACCTCTTGCTTGTTGCTTCCTCGTGGACTTGTAGTCTTCGCTGCTGAGGTTCTTCATAACATCACGCCTCCTCATGTCTGTGATCAGGTTTGTTGTCGTAATCAATATTGTGTATCAGTTATCTCTGCTTCCTCCTCATCTTCTCCCCTCTGTTTCCTCTTCCTCCTCCACAGTGTCACCACTCACACCAGAGCCAGCCAGCAGTGTCCCTCGTGTTGGAAGTGGTATTGACCACTCACAATGCAGATAATGACGTCATGCTGTTTCAGCATTCTGATTGGTTACCTAAGCCATCACTGACAAGATTGATAACTGCAGATAACCACCATATTAGCCTTCAGCTTCCCCCAACTCTTTCCCTCGATCCTTTTAAGCGACTCTATTCTTTTCCATTCCATACCCTACCTTTTTCCCCCTCCTTTCTCATGATTCTCTCTTTTCGCCACCCTCTTTCACTCTCCATCCCCTTTCACCTTCCCTCTTTTTATACCCTCTACCCTCTCTTTCCCTTCTCCCTCTTATCTGTTGCACTAAAGAAAACTCTGGATACAGAAATGGAGAACATGGAGCACAAACTGGTTCCATCGTATAGAATCCAGGAGAGAGAGAGGGAGCAAAGAGCCATAAATGAAATTAGATGACTTCCCAAATACTACTTTTACGCAAAATCCAGGACAAAACTTCATCCTGTATAGGGCCTTTAATTAACGAAGATGGAATATACATTGATAGCAATAAGTGAGTAAAATACCGAAGTCATAGTAGGAGTCTCTTCAGTGACCTAACAGTCCAAACGATTTTTTTTCATGAATATGACTCAAAACACCACTAACCTTCCCATAGTTTCTGAAGTAGCCCTCTTCCCCACTTGATTTTGGAGACGCCATCGACAGCATGCCCATGCATTCTGCTCCAGGCCCAGACTCGTCGAGTGCCATGTTCATTAAAAGTGGTAAGAAACCATTATCTCGGGCCTTTAGTATTCCATGGAGAAGCTGGGCACAGGTGTTATCATACAGTCATTAAATAACACTGATATTGCCCCCATTCATAAAGGCGGCTGTAAAACAGTGCGAAAAATTACAGGCCAGTAGTGTTAACCTCACACATTATCAAAATCTTTGAATGAATCCTAAGAAACAAGACTGCCAGTCATGTAGAATCACAACAATTGTACAATCCCGAACAGCATGGTTTTGAGCAGGTCGCTCCTACCCTTCACAAGTGCTAGGTCATTACGGTATAGTCTTGGATGCACAGGAAGACAAGCTTAGTGCTGATGTAGTGCTCACAAATTTCACGAAAGCCTTTGACAAGTGCAACACCAGAAGCTCCAGGAAAGTAGCCCCCATTGAAGACAGTGAATCTTCAAAAGCAGCGGTTTTAAACCTGGAAGGGGGGGGGGAGGGGCTCGCCCATTTACAAAGGCGTGAGTGATTTTCAGGGATGACACAAATCCCTTTTCATTGGGGATATTTTGGAACTTCTGCCAAATCTCGGGATTTCGTAGGGAGCTATTTCTGTGTGCACATTTGAACCCTATCCTAGTATTTTCCTAGTATTTTCGCCTGTGTTCCAAGGCGGGTAGGTCAAGGAATTCAAACATTTTCAGTAATTTACATGTTTAATTGAACTTATCCAGCCAAGGGTCTCTACATTTTCTACGTCTGCAGTGTTGCCCACCTTGAAAATGACTGCTAATATGACAGAATTACGAAGGCGTTGGATGGAAATCAAAATGTAGAATTTGGGGTGCACGGATATCACAAAGACGTTTGACAAATGCAATCATGGAGAGATTGTACACAAAGTAAGGGCATAAGGTATAATGGGGAAAGTAGGCAGAAGGAATTTTCAGCTTTCTGATGGATAGAGCACAAAAAGTAAACAGAACAAAATCCAGCACTAGCAAAGTAAAAGAAGCTTAGTTCCCCAAGGTACATTCCTGGCGTCTTTTCTGTTAATTATCCTCATAGTAGACATAGATAAAAAAAAAACACTCATTTTCGGATGATACCGAAATAAGCATGAAAATCACCTCGATAGACGACGGAAAAATTGCAAAGGATAAAAGAAAAATCTTCAATTGGATAGTGGAAAATAACATGCAGTTCAATAGTGACACGTTGACTTTTCATTCGAAAAGCTCAATAGGACAAATGACACAACAGCCAGGAAGGTAGTGTGCTGGATAATGAGAATAACACCTATGGTGACATTAT